ACACATTGTACCCATGTGGGGAATCGAACCCGTGTTTTCGGCGTGACGAGCGAACGCTTTAACCACTAGGCTACCCCGCCGCCCCTCTTCGGGTAAGTACATGTAATTGGCTTGAGAAACATAAGCACATTACTTCAAACCAGAAAATGTTCGCATCAGACTTCCAAGTGAAAATGCGCATTAAAAAGGTCTACAGCAACCCATGCGACTAACGGGATCGGAAGGTCAGGCTCGGGGTCACGGTTAAAGCATGTCATCGTATCTCAGTTGTGCAGATTGACGGTGTGGACATCTCTACTGACACTCTTTCCACACTAAGTTATTTACACACCACCATCCTATCGCTGGAATATTTGAGTGTGCATTTTTCTATTTTGTTGTGGTTTTATACCATACTCAGCAATATTCAAGCTACGTGGCGTCAGTCGGTAAATATTCTAGTCTGGACAAGACAATCAGTGATCAACAGAATGAGCAACGATCTATGCAATTGGGATACGATGGCATGAGTTAACCAAGTCGGTGGGCCTGACCACCCGATCCCCTTTGTCACCTCTTACGTGAACCATGGGTTGCTGAAGACCAATTCTAACCCGATCTTCACAGGTGGAGCCTGCACTTAAACAACAAACAAGAATCAAAGGGTGCTACCATCACTGATTTTTCATTGAATTTCAGTGACCTATTCATGTATTTTCCCTTACTATTTAATGAAGTCTGTTTCATGGGGTAACCGCTTTTGACCTGTCATGCATATGATAAAAGAGAAACATTACAACCAAAAAACTTAAAGTTTTTATTTCCTTACATAACTACAGTAATGAGAATGGATGGATTATTGGCAAACCACAAAAATCGGACCAACGTGCCTCGAACATGGATAACTATGCCAATCAAAACACAAAAATCAAATACATGTATATCAAAATTCCCCATCACGGTTTACATGAGTTTCTGAAAGGTTATCACATAATAGACAGATTATCACTGAACTCTCCAAATCAACTCTTTAGTTTGGAAAACATCTTAAATATCAGTAAAAACATATGTTACAAGTAACATCCTTATTTTCTTTTTTTCCGTGTTAGGTACTGAGGGTCAATCAAAGTGTCAGAAACGTCAGAAACGTCAGAAAGTAACCATGTGATTAAAAATCGCACAAGGGATATGCAAACACCCTTTTTTGTCAAAAGAAAGCATGAAATTAATTCAACAAATATCAGAAAAAATTACAAGAGAAAATGGTGTCACATTAGATGTGTAATTTTTGCACACAAGGTACCATTTTGGTAAGTAAAAATACTAATTGGTACAAAAGGAGATTAGTTTCTTTCATCTTTGTGCACATTTTAATAACCACAAACCACTGACTTGATTACATAAATATAAATTGTGCCATATGATTGTTTACCCAATACATGCATATTGTTTCAAGAGAATTTTGGATGATAAATGGCTCAGACAAAAATGTGTTTCAAATTATACTACCATCAACATATCGAAATGTGACAGAATTCTCTAAATATGACATCAAATATAACGGATGCTATTTAACATAAGCAAAGAAAAGTACTCAAATATGCGGTACATTAAAGTATTCCAACAGCCACAAAGATAATAACTAGACAGAGGCTGTAAAACTATGGAGCTACAGTATTAAAGGGATTTTCATAATTACTGTATTTATTTGCCCTCTGTCATGCATGTTATATTTGCACAGGAAACAGGCCCAGTCAAGGCATGCTTTTCCGAGAGAACTAGGCAGTTTACCATGGCACAAGAAAGCCCTGTTCCACAAAACGGTTGTAGCGCTACAACAGTCGTAAGTCTGTGTTAAAGTACGGCAGTTACGATCACCTTAGCTCTACGTTCGCTTTGGGGAATGGGGCCCTGGTTATGACTGTGCAAAGCAAACAGGAATGGCTTCAGAAAGTGTACAGTTACATTGTCAGTTCCTGTTTACATAATTTTAGTAAGTGTGTCAAGTACTATGACTTGAACATATGATGAAGATATAAATAATTTCCATACTTTGCATTATAAAAGCTGCAGTATTATTAATGAAAGAGTTAACTTCTGGATTTCAACTTAACTATTTCTTATCAATGTGTCATTTGAACCAAAAGTGTTCTTTATTTAGTATATCACTTAATAAAGATACAAGAATCTCAACAGAAACATTGCATAGAAAAATGAACTTGAAATTCATAAGTCAACTCCCAGTGCTCATGTGTGACTGTTGATATAAGCAATGAAGACAATAACCAAGTGCATCTATGCAAACTACAAAGATGGCTACAGGCCCTGTTTCTTTCCATAAATATACTCATGGAAACAAATAAGGGAACACATGAAAGTACAAGTGTTCCTTTATTTATTTCCAAAGTTTCACCCACAGTGCAATACATACCTTGTGAAGAAACGTGGAAAAGAATAAAGGAACACTTGTACTTTCATGTGTTCCCTTATTTGTTTCCATGAATATATTTACAAATTAGTTGATATTATTCACTATCCTATGTATATCTTTACAAAATAACACAATTGTGACAGTCACACATTTATTACTTTAGAATTACTTAAACAACAAGACAGGGACCTGTGCCGTAGGCCTCTAGTGATATCAACCTGCTACCAGCATGTCTACAAGAAGTTCAACACCTTAAAAACAACAGAAGGGTGGTAAAAGCAGTCACTTCAATGTAACGCTGACAATATTAATCATGTTAATACAAGACACTTCACATATAGAAGCCAATAATATAAGAAACTTGATACTTGATACTGGTACTCATTAACCAGTGTAGGTGACTTTGTCTTGTCCTGCATTCTCTGATGCGAAATAGGGGTAAATCTACGTATTACTGACGTGTTCATATATCATGAGTTTAACACATGGGTGGTAAATATGCAATCACAATTTGTGTTTCGTCAAACATCAGAAACTTGACACTGGTTAACCAATGTAGTTGACATTGTCTTGTCCTGTAAATGGGTAAATCCGGGTATGACTGACACCTTAATATATCACCTTGCTTCCATTCTACGATTGTATCCAACATTAAGCTAAACAAAATAAAAACACAAAATGGTTTCAAATAATTGGCAGTGATAGAACATTTGCAATTATCTCCTGGCCTGTCAAGATGAATTTAATAGAAATTCAACATTTATTGACATGAATCGTCAGGAATATAATTTTGGCAGTTTCCAGCAATTTGAAGTCATACAAAATACGAAAAGCTGTATGAAGACGTTGAAATGAGTTTACACCAGGGAGAAACGTTATCTCGCTCAACGTAGTCTTGTATACAATCCACTCTCCACCTTTATAGGCTATTACACATTTCTTCAGTCGTGGTCCTTAGTTTGACGTGAATCATGCATGACTTGTTCACATCTCTCAGAACATATGCTTCTGAACATTATTGCATGCATAACAAAAATATAAAGGAAAACCAAGATAGTCAACTTCTTTATTGCAATGAATGCGATGTTTCGGTGTAGGTACTAACACCCTTACCAAGCAAGTGATAACAGTATTAGTATCTACACCGAAACGTCCCATTTAATGGAATAAAGACGTTGACTACCCATAAACTTGGTTTTCCTTCATCTTTACAACTTCAAAAATGCCTCTCAAAGAAACAAAAAGTATAGTCAACAACTTAAAATAATTGATGCTGTTTGGGGTTTAATTGACAATTAGTCTCTGTATTCATCATATGAGTTACACCGTACATATATAATATTATCTACTTCTTAAGAGTGACATTTTAAAAGTTGGGAAATACAGACAAACTTTAATGGATTGCAACTTCTTTATTTCGTAAGTGTGACATTTCGATTCAGTTTCTTGAACCGTTGTTGAATGATTCATGCTTGACAGCAGTACAAGAATCTGCATTGAAGCGTCACACTAACAAAATGAATTTGCAATTCATAAAGTTTGTCTATACAGTATTTGATCTAATGTTTAAAACTGTAATTAAGATAAAACTCAGCTTCGTTGTTAGTAAATACTGTTACACCCTGAGACATACAAACATTTCATGCTATGATGGTGATCTCTTGTAGAATCCGGGGTACATACTGGTGAACAGTTCTGTCGGCAATGTCTCAAACTAGGGTGAGAAAATGCTTAAAATATCTCAAATATAACCGACATGTTTTACCATAGGTGACTATGACAACACCGCATATAAAATATTCTACATAAATATTGGAAGAGTGGAGGTCAAAATGTTGAATTTCGATAGTCCATACACATATTACATTATGAGTGTTCAGGGGGGTATCATTTCTTAATACTTACGTTAAATAGACTGATCACGATGCTGCTGATGGTTAATTGCTACAGTAACTATCAACAGAAAGAACCAAACAGTGATATAATGATATCAAGACACGAACTACAAGGGCTGGCTAAAAAGATCAATTATCAGAAATATCATTGATGGGAAGAATTATGATTATCGATATAAAAATTGTCTCATCGAAATATCGTATGTAAGCTATAGTGATATAATAAAGTTTTCATTTACACACACAATACACAAACGTAACACGCATAAGTATTTATTCTTCCGGATTTTTATTAATTTCGTCCTGATTTTGTTTTCAGTTTTGCTGAAAATCACTTCTTCGATATCTATCCATAACAAATCGATATCTAGTTCACAATCATCAGTCTCCATAGATATGCTAGCCAGCCCTACTAAGTACATATTACTAATCTAATTCATATTTATGCAAAATATATCGACTGAAGTAAGACTTTCAATTAAAATACTCACACATGTACTTGATGACCCAAAAAAGAATCAAATTTGGTACTGATTATGATTTTTATGTCATCAAGGACCCATGAACTAGTCAGTTAAACTGCCATCTTGTACTACAAGTAGACTTCATGAACATATATACGAAAATACGTACAGCTTCAACTGTATAATAAACATGATAAACGGTCAACAGTAAACAAAACAACATGTTCAAATATTAACTGATGTTTTGTGAATATACGTAGAGCTACGTACAGCGAAAAATGAAGGTATGACAGGATCTTGGTTCTTTCTGTGATAGTTTCAGGTAGCATAACATATGGATATTTATCAATCCAAGAAATCAAATTATTTCTCAAAGAAAAGAGTTCACGCCAAGTGATACGATGTTGTTTTCTTACCCCTGGAAAAAAGTTTGACGAAAGTGTAACTCATGGATAAGACGACCCCCCTTCTACAGACTGCTTTTTTTGGTCCTCAAAATTCGGCTTATAGACGGTCATATACAGGTAACACGCATCCTTCTCCATGGAGTGAAACGGATGCAATGCCTGAAGCATGGTGGCTGAGCCGCACGGGCTCGGCAGGCTGTGAGACTACAGATCAACAATATTTTTAGGATAGGCGACACAATCATCAGTAGACTTACGAAGAATCATACAGAATAACACCAATCTCTGTCCATGAGTAGGTAGGGTTTTTAGTTTCTCGCAAACACAGATTGATATCATTTTGTACATTTCCCCAACAATTCTTACTGCATTTCTGTGTCAAAATCCAATTCTGTATGAGCGCTGCAATCTCTGACCTGCCTTCATGTTGTACGGGTTTACCATGAATATTTAACACTCGGCACTTAATGGCTGTATATTGAAATTGGGAAACATTTTGTCAGTGTTATCATAGTCACCCTGTGGTATTCTAACAATAAAATAAAGAACACTACATTAACGAAATCATACTACTTAATACCTCAGTGATACCCCAAGGAGCATTCTGCTCTTAATTATAAGATCATAGCTATACTGAAACAGAAATCCCTGAGAAAACAATAAATCTGAAGAAATATGGAAGATTCAGTTTTAACCAAAGGCTGGTGATACACATGGGGCTTTGTGTATTTCTTCAAGCCTTTCTTACAGTCAGCTTTCAAATTAACTGTTATTTGAACCTTTTGGCCAATAAGAAAGCTGGGGGCAAGAAAGGCTGATCCAAGAACTTGGGAATATCATGACAGTATCCTTTCATTTAACATCGCATACTACATCTGACTCTCCAGCCGACGCTGAGACTACTGGCCCTTGAACTGGGTGTAGCGATCGTGGCAAGATTCTGCTACATCAGCTCTTGGATGCAGGAAGTCCCATCATCTTCATGCTGTACACATACAGTTTACCACAAACAGTTTGTGGCCATTTGTGTTATGGCTGATCCATCTTGGTGTTCCTGTAAGCTTACATATAGATGTTCCATCTGTCTCGTACTATCTTCTCATCCACTTGATTTCTGGTGAGGTGTGATGTTGTTCACCCTGTTCGTGGCTCTGCTCTGTTCTGCCATGTTCTGTCATGTGTATCCCCAATCCTGCCAGCAGGATGTCGGGCAGGTTGCCCTGTGCTGCATCCACTTAACTATGTAAATGGAGTACCTAGAAGTCCTCTAGGTAGAATTTTCACTGCAACCTGTAATTGACCATAAGCACATCTTGATTAAACAACACAAGACATTGCATATTCCTGATGTGTAAGTTTGACAACGGTGTAAGAATCTGCAGCAAAACGTCGCTCAATGCAATAAAAGAGCTGTTGGTATCCATAAAGTCATATGTTTCATTAGTGATTCACCTTCTAAAACGTTTATATAACAATTAACACAAATATCTGCAACATGTATTTGTTAAACTCTTATGGGAAGGAAAACTTTCACTCTCACTCCCGTTTTCCCTGTTCATGGAAGTTTGAAACTTTCCGACTACTAACCCAGCTGCCCATCCTGTGTTGCATATTTTTCATTGAATCATAACAAAGTTATATCATCAGAACTGCCAAATGTATATTTCTCACGACTGGTCTTGTCAATTTTCTGTCAAGTTAACTTTACTACACGAGAATAGTTGCCAGTGAATAGTATGGTGTACCGCTAGCCTCACAACTGCTCGAAATGTGTGAATGAACGGAGTAAGCTTCATGGAACATTGTCTTACAGAAGTGTTCACGATTACAGTCCATTGTCAGTGACCAGGTCCCCACTTTCATCTGGAACGTCTTGACCTCTGGGCAGCGGAGGTGGGTGGATCACATCACGGGACATGAGCACCTGAACAACAAATACATCACATCTTACACAGCAGGAATACACTATCTCTCACACAGCAGGAGTTTTACAGAGCTCAAGCTTTTGTTGCTTTTGAATAATGTCTGCGAATAACCTGCTGCTCACTCTTATTAGAGACAAGCATTTTTCAAGACTGACTCAAACATCTTCCAAAAACCCTTTGATTTAAGTTTCTAGTTTCAGATATAACTACAACAGAATGGGAAATCATAATGAAATTCAAGATTTTCAAGACTAAAAAAGCAAAACATAAGGACAATAATGTCACCAGATGGATCAACTCATAAAATATCCCAGTAACCTACCGGTTCCGAGGAGGCATGTCCAGACGAGGAATATCCGGTCTGCTGCTGACCTGTTGAGTACAGTGTGCGTGAAGAACATGTTGCATGACAGACAGTTAGATAGATTGGTGTGTGATACAGCAGAAGAATAATGAATCAGGTCCCCATTTCACAAAGCTCACGTAAGCCTAAGATCTCGTAACTTTTCTCATAGCCTTCTTACCTCCTATGTTACAGTATAGGAGGTACGAATGCTACGAGAAAGGTTACGAGATCTTGGGCCTACGAGAGCTTTGTGAAACGGGGGCCTGGACAGTATACAGAAACCTTTAACATTTTCCATGATGTCACTGTGGTGGGTGAAGCCATTTTGGACCATTTCTTGAACACAAGCATAAAATAATTCAATGCATATGCATCCCCCATGAATATCTTATGCATATAATCATCCCTATTGTGATCTACCAAGGTGTCTAGGTGTTACTAGATCTAACTGAGAGGTATGATAACTGTGCACTCACGTCTGATCTTGCCACACATCTCACACACAGTCCTGCTGGGGATGTTGGAGAAGGTGCAGAATTCACATGTCCACTGTCTCGGCATAACCGGTGAGGTCTGGGCCCCTCCCACCTGGCGCCCTGAGCCATACTGCGGGAATGGCGCATCTGTGATCATAGCAAGCAATGGAGGATAACATATGAGGTCATAGCAAGCAATAGAGGATAACATAAGGTCATAGCAAGCAATAGAGGATACCATATAAGGTCATAGCAAGCAATAGAGGATACCATATAAGGTCATAGCAAGCAATAGAGGATACCATATAAGGTCTACACATATAGGCACTTGGGACACCTTAACACAAGACTTGAATTGTATTTCTGATCACATAATCCATTCATATATCATCCATACGTGATTCCTTAATTCCATAACATCACCAAACTGTTTTCAAGACTTTCAAAACACAAAGTCATACTTCAGGAAAGTTTAAACCAATTTTGTATTGTGCATTTTCAAACGAAAACTGCTCATAAGCACATGATAGATCCAATAACAGACTTTCTTTAGAGACAGGTCTTTGGGGGTCTCTTTTAAACTTGTCAGTGCGACGCCAGTAAGTATAGCATAATATGCTCACTGTTCATGTTCATGTATGGCTGGTTAAACCCTTGGGGGGACAGTGGTGGCAAGAAGCCTGCCAAGCCCATCTGCCCCTGGGGTGAGAAGCCGCCTTGCATGGGTGTGTTTGGATACATGGGCATGTTCTGGAACTGGGGCTGGTTCTGGTAGCGTGGGTAGGTTTGGTTCATCATGTTGCCCTGGAACTGAGGGATGCTGCTCTCTCGCAGTCGCCGATTCTGGAGACAGACACAGAAATATAGAGAATATGCAATGCATACGAAACAATCTAGTCCACTTTGCTCGCATAACCAGTACACTGTTACATGCCATAAAAGATTACCAGTGTTTCTGGATTCAAAATGTATGAAACATATCAGTTATCGCATTTGTATCAGGATAACAAGAAGTTGAAAATGAAAAAGAAACCTAGTAACCACCCCATGCGTGGTTGACTGTATGTTATATTTGTAATAACTCATGTTCATCTTTACCCTTGAGTCATATTGCTTAAAATATCTAAACTGTTAATTACTGGTTGGCAAAAACAACGTGTATGAATCTATACCTGTATATGTAGAAAGATCAAGAACAAGCGAAACAACGGATATTTTTTTATCAATTTTGTTTTAATATCTTTAGATTTAAGTAAGTGATTGGGTGAGTTTGGTTTTATGCCACATTTAGCAATATTCCAGCAATATCACAGCAGGACGAGTGGACGCTTTAACCACTAGACTACCCCACCGCCCCATTTAGATTTAAGTTTTATTGGTATGGAACATTATAATGTTTAGCTACAAGCATCATAGCTTGCACATAAAGTGTATCAATGAGATGCTGAGAGTAGTGCTGCTGGTTTGGGTGCTGACCTACCTCGCCATGGAGCTCGCGGACCTGCGTCTGAAGACTCTCGTTACGTTGCAGAGTCTGCTGCATCGTTGACTCGTGACTCTTCAGCTGAAACAACACACCATTTAATTTACCAGTGATGACGACAACCACAACCTTGAAAGGTATGATAAAGACGTCGTCAGTAGTAGTGGCAGAAACAGAAATTGTGTATGAAGGGTTCGTCTCATGTGAACTGCACTGAACCGAGATGTATGGGTGGTGATTAACTTTATGAATGGGACGTGTTTTGGTAAGGTGTTTTTGAAGATGGAAACTTTGTTCTGGGTGTGTTTTGGCAACAGGATTGAAAGAAGATGGAAGAAAAGCACAGGGGGAGAGACAGTGAGTTTACAAATAGGCATAAAAAGCAATGATCTTGTTTAGGGGAACCAAGCAGAGCCATAACAGATATATCCACAAATAGTCCAATTTCTTTGAAAATCAGACAGAAACATGGCTGAGAATGGCGAGTTCAGAGAATTATGTGTAGAATTAAAACAATAACAGAAACAGTGAGTTAGACTTGATGGTGAAACATTATCTTGTTTCATGAATACTTCAAATCTGATTCTTGATACATGGATGCATAATCCGTTAAGAGCCCGGAAATGAATCAGCAGTAATTTACATTCCTGCAATATGCCATAATAATATAAATATGACAGAGTTTCTGTTTACGTAACAGAGCAGCCTAGATGAAGCTTGTCTCACCTTTTGTTCCAGCAACTTGTTGCGACGCAGGATGGCTTCCTTCTCCTCCCTGACCTTGTCCAGTGTAGTCTGAAGGTCATCCCCAACAGACTGGGCAGCTGCACGGTCTTGCCTCTCACGGTCAAAGTCTTCCTCGAATACGGTCAGCTGTCACATACCAGTCACACATCAACACACTGGTCATAGAGATTATGACTATAGCAACGCAGATGTCTAGTGGAAATGGCCCTTCATTAGCAAATTCAGCAAGAATTAGGCTCCTTCAAATGTCTTTGGAATAAAATTCAAATTATGCTCTCATACCACACAGTCAGCACTTCAACTATTCTTTCAAATATACATGGCTGCTCAATACTTTAGTTTTGAAATAAATAGATTTAACAAACTCTATTCTTTGGGCTCATTACTGCAGTCATAAAAAAATGATGTATGTGCAATTTTTTCTGTAAAAAAACTCAGGAAATATTACCTTTTTAAAGAACAAATGCCCACCCCCTCGCCCTCAAGTAAATCAATTAGTTGCTCCCTGATCTACACCATGTGAACATTGACTCCTACCTGCTGTCTCAGAACCTCTATCTCAGTTGTCAGATCCTCTCTGTTGCGCTCCATTCCAAACTGGCCACTTCTCATGTTGCCTTGGTAACGAGATTTGAGAACACTGAGTTCTGCTTCTAGGCTGTGCTTATCCCGGACCGCTATCTCAAAGCGGGCCTGGAGCTCACACACCTGGTCCTGCAGACTCCGCTTCTGGTTCGAGCATTGGTGAAATTTTGTCAAGGCTTCCTCCCTGGCAGTCTACAAACACATATCAGAACGTGTTCCTCAGGTTGTGTCCAACATGTAATCCGATCCTGTTATCAGAATTGAGATGATTTACATCATTACAACATAATCCCACTTTGGAGGTGTTAAGAATCATCATTGGAGAAATCAGCAGTAACCATGGTAACTACTTCTTACCTCCAAAACCACAGGTTTCACAGGTACTGGAGTAAAACGCATGTCGTCTTGCTGACTCAAATGACTTGAGAGCAAGCTACCAAATGTGATCAACATGGATGCTTATTGTTTGTGAATATTAATTGGTGTGAATATTAAATAGTTTGTGACTAACGGGGTCAAGTACACTGACTTAGATGATGCATATGTGATTGTATCTCAATGGCAGTGACTGATGCCCATGACAATCACGGTATTGCTTGGTCCAAATGTGTTTGTTTAAAGACTGTCATCGTATAACTGTTATACTGCTGAATGCACCGATAAACAACAAAGAAGTTAATTGGTATACCTTCATCCAATTAAACCAGCTTAAGAACAAATTGGTCTTGGGGTAGCCTAGCGATTAAAGCATTTGCTCATCACCATGAAGACCCAGGTTTGATTCCCCACGTGGGTACAATGTGTGAAGCCCATTTCTGGTGTCCCCCTCAATGATATATCTGGAATATTGCTAAAGGCGGTGTGGGGAATCGAACCTGGGTCTTCGGAGCGACGAACAAACGCTTTACACTAGGCTACCCCACCACCCTAAACTAACAATAAACATCCATGGATCAACTCCATTTAGTTGGCCACCTCTCTGTCTACTCACAAAACAGTGGCGACTTGGAGTGAGACTCTGCTAGATTCCTTATTCAATGGCACAGTGGGCCCTTCAGACAGTTACACATATGTCCAAATATTCAGAACTTCTGACCTAATCTGTATCATAAACACTACACAAATGGCTCTGGTCCCAGAGTTAAGGATATCCCAAGGTGGAGTTTCCCACATTTTTGTTTATGTTCATCATCACTTTCACTGTAGAGGAAATTTCCAAATGAATGACATTTAACGTTTTTTCACCAAGGTCAAAATAATAACAACAAATAAGGAAACTAAGAAAATTAGGAAACGTTCTTCCTCGAAAGAATATTCCTCACTACGAAGAGGATTGTTGTGGCCAGGATATGATGTTTTCTTGATTACTAATTGGATTAGCTGTACAGTGGATTATGTATACCATTACTTCAACATTTTGATGAATTTCAGATGATACTTCCTTGACATATAGGATCTAGCGACAAGTCAGGAATATACTGGGATCATATTCCCATTGGGTATTGGCTCAGTCAAGCAATTGTCCACTTTGTACCGACCAAGGTGGCCGTGGCCAACTTGATCTGTGAAAGGAAGTAGTATTATCCATTAATATGTGCAAGGTGAGGCATGGTCAACACTTGTACAACACACAGTGTATATAATGTCAACTGTACCCTCCCACATGATTAACTTACAAAGTATTTGGTTACAGAATGCTGTGGATTAGATGGCAGAACCAATAGATCTTCCATCTCCTGCCAAATTTACGGAAAGCCAAACCCTATAACACTGATTTGTAACAGAATCCCATGTTACCATGACAACAAAAGAACAATAAATAAAATATGTCCTCAAGGCAACTGTCATCCTTACAGATGTTCACAAAATGACCAAAACCAATTCAAAACCATCCACAGACAAAACTAATAAAAGCTGTGTGGGCAGACCAATTCATTTTACTGACTCTGCCTGTCCAATTTTATGTGTACAGATGTTTTAAAAAGTAGTTTGTTTGATGGATATAAACAGATAATCAACACTGTCTTCATATCATTTGTTTCCTCATCCTCTTGGAACATCAAAAACATCTGTGAACTCAAAAACACCTGGCCTTGCCTAACATGCCTAAACTAAAACCAAATTCAGTACAACTATTTGAACAAACAACGAATAAGATCTCACCTCCTCCTCATATGCCTTGGTCTTGGCATCCTGGACCATCTTCTCACAGTCAAGTTGGATCTGCTTCTCTCGTTTCTGCAGTTCTCTCATTTCCTGTTTGTAAGAGTCGACCTGTGACCTCATGTCCTTCACCTTCAGCTCCCACTGCTGGTTCAGTTCATGCCATCTGATGTTCCAGCTCTGATTGGCCTGTTTCAGCTACATAGAAAAAATAGTACCTAAATACATCTCTTGGTTTCTTTAATCTATAGGCGTGAAATCAGCTCCTGTAGCTTGTTGTAGTGAAAGAGTGAGTATTGTTTTACGCTGCACTCAGCAATATTCCAGCTATATGGCGGCGGTCTGTAAATAATCGAGCATGGACCAGACCATCTAGTGATCAACAGCATGAGCATTGATCTGCACAATTGGGAACCGATGACATGTGTCAACCAAGTCAGCGAGTCTGACCACCCGATCCCGATAGTCGCCTCTTACGGTAGCTTGTTGTAAGTATAAATAAGGCAGAGGAGGAGGCTCTTTGCTAATGATGATCACCCTGACTATATCAGTTGTACGTTCTTCTGAAACTTGGGTCAATGCTTATATTTCAGTTTACGATCATGTCTGGTTCAGAGTCATTACAGGGAAAACACATTAAACTATGTTTGTAAAAATCCAAAATTATATGCGTAGAAAAACTGAACATGTTGAAGTGAGTCAGTCGTTTTACACCAATTATCAAAATAACTGGGCCTAATAAGCGGTCAATGAATTAAGATCTTACATGAACTGCTAGGCACACCTTGCAACCACACCATGTGAGACGCCTTGTTTTGAAGATACCTCAGCCAAGCATGTGGCCGTTTACATCTTTGTCGGAACATAGGGAGGTGGGGTGGTTAAAGCGTTCGCTCATCACCCTGAAGGCCAGGTTCGATTCCCCACATGGGTACAATGTGTGAAGCCCATGACTGGGGTCCCCTGCCGTCATATTGCTGGAATATTGCTTAAAGGGGCATCAAACTGAACTCACTCACTCTGCCGGAACACAACCACTACCCACCTCTCTGTTCTCTTTCTTCAGACATCGGACGTTGGACATGACAGTGTCAAGGTCATCTGGCAGGGAGGTGTCCGCGCCTTGTTGCATCAGCTCCTCCTCCACACTGGCCTTCCCCTGAGAACAACCCCAGCAGACGATTTCCAATGATCAAAATCATTTAAATGATCAAACTTAATTCACATAATTACAATGTACTTCTTATTTTTTTAAATACATTATGTTTCATTACTGCTGCTTCTACTTCAAAGTAAATAATCAAATCAAAATGGAGACCATCAACAAGCTAATATCTCCTGTGAACACTTTAACGTATGAGGTTTAAGTATGTTTCTGTCTTTCACCATGTTACAATAATCAGGGATCAATGAAAGAAACTTGATTTATACTGCACCATCAGCATGTCAACACTAATAACACGGTGCAAACAAACCAGGCTTTATTTTCATCTGATTACTGTATCAAAGTTGAAACACCTGCTGTCAGTCATATACATTCATGACACACCACTGGAACACATCATAACACTGGGCACATAAACTTCACTTATCCAATTTTTATGACAAAGCCTTACAAAGCAATACAAATAACACAAAACACAGGAATTAGTGTTCTAGCATGTTGAATACAGTTTAGAAGATCTGACGGTATTCAAAGGAAAATATTGTGTGGATAAGTAAGCAGGGCTCCAGATAACTTTTGGGGGTGTGAGTGTACTAACACATCATATTGCAAGTGGAGGTGTACTGAGAATTTTGAAGGAGTACTGACATGTTTTTGTGTGAGCGAGTTGGTGATGTGGTTTGTCTGGACGATTTATCGATCACTATTGTCAACCATGTATTTGTATTTGAAGACGCGTGAGAAATAACTGAGTGACCGTGTGATGCGCGAAATGTCAGGTCCGACTGGATTTAAATAGGAACAGCGTAGTTTTTAGCCAATTGAAAAATAGTGATGCATATCGTTGAATGGCAACGCAAGTGATTCCTACTGTCAGGGTTTCCTTATGTGCCAAATCGTGCGATGACAACCAACATATACCTAGTTTGGAAGATATGGAATATAATGCTGACAACTTTCACCATCCCAGGAATAATGTCGACAATATTATAAGTTCGTATGGACGAGATCTGATAGATTTGTGTTGCGCTCACAACATACACATGATGAATGGGCGAAGTAGATCTGACCCTCGGGGTGGCATGACTTGTTTTTCTCACAATGGGTCCAGTATGGTGGACTATTGCTTATGTTCAACTGATATATTTAACATGGATCATGACTTCATTGTAGAAACTTCGTTGTGAATCTGACCACCTACCCATCAGACTTACCTTGTGTATACCACCTACTCCCCCACAGATGTGATGGGGACAGTGACAGTGTGCAACGCTTTGTTAAGATATAGGTGGAAAGAAGAACAGAAACCATTCTTTGTTGAACACTTAAATACTGCCCTGGCATCATATGGACTCGAGAACTTTACAAATGACGCCATTGAGGATGTGAATGACGCTGCACATAAGTTAACAGAATGTATAACATCGCGCAGATAGATGTAACATGCGATGTTTTGAAACTTTTCACCAAACAAGCCCTACAACGCCAGCTGGTATGACGAAAGAATGTAGAAACCTGAAGCAGCTGAAATATACTAACTTAGATTGTTTTAGATCAACTGGGGAGCTACATTTCTGGTCAGAATTTCGAAGTCTGAGAAACTCATATCGACAGCTATGTCGCACCAAAAAGGAAAATTATGAGGAAAATATGGTGAACCTGTTATCGCCGAATTCTAAGAACTCAAAGTCGTTTTGGAGCCAAGTTAAACGCCTAACAACGGATAAATCAACTGATATCAACTCTATATCGGCAACACAGTGGGTCGACACTTCAAAAAGTAATGAATATAAGTGATGAGAATACGGATCAAGACCATGTCAGAGAAGCCAGTACATTTCTTGAAAATCACGATGAACATAATTGCTGTGCATGCAATAGTGATACCATTAATAATACTCTGAACTGTGAAATCAGGCATAATGAAATTGTTGATGCCATTGACAATCTGAAGGACGGTAAAGCTCCTGGTCCTGATGCAGTAACTCAGAAATGATAAAATGTTGTAAAACTGAACTATTGCCATTTTTCATGCATTGTTTAATAATATTTTGAACAGTGGTAATTTCCCTATAGAATGGGCTAAAGGACTGGTTATACCGCTTCACAAGAAAGGTAAGAAGACAGAGGTTAATAATTATAGAGGGATAGCGCTTAGTGATGTCATGGGGAAATTATTTGACGTTTATATTAAACAAGAGGTTGACAAGTTTTGTCATCAGTATGATGACAAGATTCCTGAGTCTCAGGCTGGGTTCCGTGCTGGATATAGCACTGTTGATAATATTTTCAGTTTACAGTGTCTGGTCCAAAAGTATATCTCGAAACTAATGGTCGTTTTATTGTTTATTAAGCGATTTCAGAAAGGCATTTGATTCCATTAATCGTAAATTATTGTGGTTCTCAGTTTTAAATAAAGGTATTCATGGTAGAATATTTACAGTATTATTGGACATGTACTCCAAAGTTAAATCTGCTGTTAAACTGTCAAATAGTTCCATTTCTCATTATTTTGATACTTTAAGTGGTGTAAAACAGGGGTGTATTTTAAGTCCTTTGTTGTTCTCTCTTTTTGTTGTTGAGTTGGAAACTATGTTACAGGAATCGAATGTCCGAGGTACATTTGTTGGTCAAGAGTTTCGTGATATTTTATCTTTATTTTATGCTGATGATCTTTGTTTGTTTGATGATAGTGTGATTGGTCTAAAGAGAAAAATAGATGTATTGGAGCAGTTTAGTATCAAATGGGGTTTGGATGTCAATTTAGATAAGACTGAAATTTTAGTTTTTTAGAAATGGTGGCAAGTTACGGTTTTCTGAAAAAATGGATGTATGGCAATAAAACTATTAAGACATCGACCTATTATAATTATCTTGGGTTAACGTTTTCTAACAGGTTATGTTGGTCAAAAGGTATTGAAGTTCTTGTTCAAAAAGCATCAAAAGCCCTTGTATCCGTTAAACAATTAGAAGTAAGTTTCAGAATATTTCTTCTTTAGTTTTATTCAAGATATTTGATGCTCAGATTAAGCCAATCTTACTCTATTCTAGTGAAGTGTGGGGTCATTCAAAGTTTGAATGCATCGAGCGTTTTCATGTTAAGTTTTGTAAATATGTTATTGGTGTAGGTAGTTATGTCTCTAATGTTGCTGCACTTGGTGAATGTGGCAGATATGGCTTATTTGTCGATTGTCATAAAAGATGTATTCAGTATTGGTTAAAGTTGCTATCAATGCCTAATCATAGATATCCTAAGCAATGCTATCTTCTGTGTAAATCCTTAGACGACTGCAACCGTGTTACATGGGCTTCAAAGGTTAAAATATTACTGTTCTCATATGGTTTTGGATTTGTTTGGATCTCTCAGGAAGTTGGTAATTGTTCTTTATTTCTTAGTAAGTTTGTGCAAAGGGTTAAAGATTGCCACCAACAAGATTGGTTTTCTAAAGTTTGTGAATCAAATAAGTTATGTTTCTATCAAGAATATAAATCTCTATTGACAGTTGAATATCATTTATCCACTCTAAAGGATCATGAATATAGAAGGCTTTTATTTTTTGCTAAGATCTGGGAATTGCCTTTAATGATAAATGTTGGTAGACGTTGTGGTATTGTTCGCGATGAACGATTTTGTAATTTATGTATGAATGGATGTATAGAAGATGAATACCATTTTCTGTTAATATGTAAAGTTTATTCCATTTTAAGACAAAAGTATATTCCTGAAAATGTCTGGAAACATCCCTCTATTTATAAATTTAACATGTTATTAAGTTGTGACAAAGTGAATATCCTAATTTACTTAGCAAAATTTGTAAAAGAAGCTTTAAGGTTAAGAAGTGCTTAAAATGTGTATCTAACCATTTTGTCACTTCCATTATCATTTTCTGAGTTTTTGTACATGGGCCTATGGCCTTTATACGGAATAAAAGAATTGAATTGGATCGTGTTTCGCAAAAAGAAACTTGACAAGTATTTGTCCGAAATAGATTTCCATTTGCACAATACGCACGGAAATTAAATGTTAGACGTACAAAGGTATTTAGGTGCGTACACGATACGCTTGAAATCTTATATTATGTTGTAAATTAATTGATTTTGAGGCGTACATTACGCCTGTATGCCCCTTATCTGTAGCCCTGAGTAAGGATCAGGCAGGCATAACTGTGAAGTCTTTTGCTCACACTTTCTGCATGAAGGTAAAAATATTAAGTTGCATTTGACAATAGAATGCACTTGTGTGTTTTATGTCGCCAAAATGTACCATAAAACTGATAGATATAGTTGGGATGTCAACTTGTTATGTTGTTTAATCTAGATAGACCTTTGGTAAAGTCATACAAGGGAGGCAACTGCTGTTTTACCTGTGGTTTCTCTACTGTCACCCAGCCTGCCAAGCGAGTCTGTGATGTGAGAGGCTCGGAGGTGACAGGCAGCTGATCCCGATCATGTTCCAGCCTCTTGATTCGAGTAATCAGTCGCTTGTTTTCTTCTCTGGACAATAAAGTTAAATAAAACATAGAAAACTATTTTTTCATTATGATCATATTTCTGTTGATGACTTGCCATGGCTAATCCATATAGTATTTATCTGGTGATAAATAAGTTATCATAATGACAAAAATAAACATGTCATGTCAGCTCGTGGAGTAAGGTCCAAAGTGCAGCATGTCATAACCTCAAGGACGTTGAGCATAACATGGGTATCATACTGGCACATAATGAACTGAGAGATCATTGGTTTGGATGACAAGGGGAAGGGTGGGGTTGGGGGTGTCAATAAAAAACAGAGGATGTGTATTGACAAGAACTTTGAGTGAGTATGGTTTTATGCCGATTTTAGCAATATTCCAGCAATATCATGGCGGGGGACCTCTGAAATTGGCTTCACACATTGCACTCATGTGGGGAATCGAGCCCGGGTCTTCAGCATGACGAGCGAACGTTTTAACCACTAGGCTACCCCACTGCCCCCACAAATACCAAAGGAATGGTGTGCACACATTCATTGATTCAAACCTACATGTTTTACCCTTGCCAGGGCAAGAACTGTCTTCGTCACAGAAGATTAACATTTCACATTCATTATACTTGTTTCAGTTTGAGTACCATCCCTTGCATTAGAAAACATGCATATTCACCACCTACTGCATGAATGAGCCATAATCTGCGATCAAGTAAAACATTTTCAGCAAACCTGAATACTAGTACTTCCTTATACTTCCTGTAAGAAAACACACTGACACATGAGTGAATGGTTACATTGGTATCAGGCCTACTGCTGGGAGTAAAAGGTCACAGTCGCATTCAAGCAAGCTCAGGGGTGGAAATAACTTTAAAATTGCTTGTGTACTCCGGAACAGTGGCACATGTAAAATCACTTGCCCTGATAATTTTCCACTATACCGGCCGTTTTCTTGTTGATTTTTTAAAAATAAACAACATAATTAACATTGGAAAGTCAACTGGACACCGGTACAGTGTGATATACAAATTTGCTTGCCCGACAGAAAAAAACACTGGACTCGAACGTCGGGCAATGGGTTATTTCCACCCCTGAAGCTGATGATACTCCAACATGTTTGTGTGTAGAGAAACATCAGAAATATACCTGAGCTCAAAGTTCTGGTTCTTGAGTTCCTTCAACTCCATTGCCGTTGACGTCTTCAGCCTCTGGTTCTCTTGGGCAAAGGTGTAGGCCAGATTCTGGACAAAACAATCGCTCTTAAGACTGTATCAGGGTTTAGTATGGTAAGCCAAACAAGAGTGAGTGAGTGAGTTTTAGTTTTACACAGCTTTTAGCAATATTCCAGCAATAACATGGCAGCCGAAACAAGAGGAAGTAAACGTTTAAGACAGTTTCAATAATATCAGATACAGGAAGAACATGTAGGTACAGTTACCAAACATCATCTCTGACAGTAAATAATCTAGACAAGATGACACCCTTTCTAACAAGATAATTATCCAGTCCTCACTAAAGAGCTTTTGAGGCAATTAATTGGTAGTACCGCCTAATCTGACCCAGAATTCACACAAACAAGCATTGTCACTAAGGTGACATAATCCCTCGCAGCAAATTCTCAAATCAAACTTAAAAAGTAATGAAAGTTTAAGATGAAATTAAATGTCAACAAAAACATGACCAGTCAACCTACTTGATATCTTCTCTTTAGTTGTTCAAACACACAAATATTTTCAAGACTGACTTTGACCTTGATATGAATGTCATAGTGTATGAAATATGCAAATATGGAACTAAAGAAATTGCTTATTAAAAACATTCAAGGGAAGTCTTAAAAGTCTATGAAGAAAATCCAGTGAATTCAGGTTAACATGCTGAAATCTTCAAAGTCCCGCAGTGACCTTGAAAATTATGTGAATGTCACCAAAATTGACTCGGCCTGCGCCTTCATTAGATGAAGCTTGGTGTCAAATATGAAAAAAATCCAGTGAATGGTTCTTGAGATATCTCGCTGACCATCTTAACATGCAGGTTAACATACTGAAATCTTCAAAGTGTCGCTGTGACCTTGAAAATTAAGTGAAGGTCACCTGAATCAACTGGGTCCTGCGCCTTGCCTAGATAAAGCTTGGTGTTGAATATGAAGAAAATCTAGTAAGCGGCTCTTGAGATATCTCGCTGACAAGAGTAAAGCGTTAAAGTCCCCTTGTGACCTTGAAATGAAGGTCAAGGTCACCAAACCTGACTGGGACCTTTCTTATACTGTGATGAACCTAGGTACCAAATATGAAAAGAATCTAGTCAACGGTTCTTAAGATATTCTAATTCGGACGGACGGACGGACGGACAGAGCCAAACACTATATCCCCCGCTTCGCACTAAACGCGCGGCGGGGGATAATAATCCAACGTACGTATGATAACATTGGTAGCATTCATATTGAAAAGCTGTACAATGTACCATAAATATGGATCTTCCACCAAAAGACAGCTTGATTGTTCAATCCAAATGTCCTTACCTTGAACCTTTTGGCATCTTCTTCAGTTTTCGCAATGTCCTCCGACATCTTGCGGAACTTTGCTGCCAGTTCTGGTTCCTCAGCTGTGCTGTGCATCTGTAGCATGTTCTTCATCTGCACACTGAGTTCCGAATCCTACACAGCAACACAGATTGTCAAACAGGCTCAGAGAGGTTTCGGTTTAGAACTTGGTACTGACATTCTTATCATTACAAAATAACTATTGTTGATGTACTGAAACACTTGATATATTCAAGAAAACAGGACATGTAAGAAGACTCTCAACATAACAACATTATGGAAATATACAAGACATGTAAAAAGACTCTCAGCATAACAATATTATGGAAATATACAAGACATGTAAGAAGATGCGAAAAAAGTATTTTTTCAACCATATACAGTATTCTCACCTGCCTTCTACTTCACTTCCACATTATTGAGACACTGTAAGTGTGCACTCCTTGAAAAGTATGTCTGATATTTTTGTAAATTTTTAAAAAGTCTATGATCACAAAGACTAAACAAAGACCCCATGTGGAAAGATACACTCAAAAGAATCAATCACTTTATGGTTCTTTGAGGCTTGGTGGCGGTGGGGTAGTTTGGTGGCTTTAGTTGTTAAAGCATGTGATCGTCACGCCAAAGACCGGAGTTTGATTCCCCACATAGGTACAATGTGTGAAGCTCGTGACTGGTGTCCTCCACCGTGATATTGATAGAATATTGCTGAAAGTGGCATAAAACTAAAACTCACTCACACTCTGAGGCTTGAAACATTGTCACTGAAACACCTTAATGCTCTGATATCTGAATTTTACTACATTCTTTTTCTATTTTAAGACGAATCAAATACCCTGAGGATATGCAGGATGTTTGATACAATAAGATAAATATAAGCAATACAAAGTAAGCAATACTGTCACCTCAAACACTCACCATGGGTTTAGGTTCGTATTCACTGTATGTCTTTGGTCTGACATCCTGGACTCGTCGGGAAGGTCCTGATGACAGTGACGGGAAGTTGTACTTCTCATCAGGTCCAGACGAGATAACCGACATGCTGCTCATGCTCCCGGGTTTATAGGCCATCTGGTGGCCAACCTTCTCATATTCTGGTTCCTCGTAACGATCAGAATCCAGTTCCAAGTTCTGGGTCATGTTTCCTCCCTTGGAGATGATCTTGCCTGTTTCGGTGCGAGATAGGTCATTCTGGGTATCCACAAGGGACTCCTGCATTGGAGTTACCAACCTTATTGACCCATGCATCTCGTTGGTGTCGACATTGTCCACGTTGCTGGTTACTGACCTCTCAGTGATTGTGGGCAAACCAGGATCGCGGGATGACTCCATCTGAGCTTCAGCTTTGCCTTCAGTCTCAGTTATCTGGGTCATGCTTATGTCGGTATTCTGTGTCGGTTCCAGTTCGTAGTGGTCGTAGTCTGTCAAATTTGATACATGTTTATTGGGAATGTGAGTGTGTGAAAACGTTCTGGTTGAAACTGAAAGAATATACTGAAGATAAATCATCAGAAAATTTTACCCTGACAAAATATACAGTCTTAATTGGCGGAAATAATAACGACCTTATGAATCACATACTTCTTGCAAGTAAAAAATATATCCATATATCAAGTATTAAAAAAAATAAGTTATCACTGGATACATTTGTAAAAATATTGAGTGATATTTTCAAAACAAAAACGTTTATTGCCAGTAAGAATCAAAACATATTACAATTTGACAGAAAATGGTCATCTCTACTGCACACATTCCCAGCTTAATGAAGATTCCAATATGTGTAATGCCAACCCATATGAATTTCGGTTTTACGGTGTTTTAAGTTGACAGAAAAATTACAAGTTCTACAGAATGTTTTCAAAGCCAAAATTGCAATTCAACTACTCTCAAACCTAACCAAAAAACTAACAATACTTGGGTTCCAGGTAATCCAACTAACCTATTCTTTCATTCCGGAATGAAATATTTTTATCATTAATGGAAACAGCCATCAATAAACTCATGCTTGACATTTAAAGGAAACTCTAGATGTTCTAGAAATACTGCAACTAACAATACCAAAGTAACCCAGCATGTTAAACATGTTAAACATTAAAAATATACACATTAAATTTTGTATTATTTCAATACGGTAAGCTACTGATCCATGCCTATTGTCTGTTTTGCCTTGAACATAAGCTTTAGTCTGGCCTTACAATAACAAGCAGACAATTACAGGGTGGTTCTTTAGTCCCTGAACATTGATACTCAATGTTCACCATTTAAATGATATGTAATATGCAGTTTAGTGCAGAACAAAGAGCTGAAATGAGGTTTAACCTTCGAGATGACTGAACCAGGCTGGGCAACATTAAGTACCACCTTTTAATGTATTGTGATATGACAGGATCAAACCACTGCCATTCAGCTCTCCAGGCATGATACAGAATGATAGGTACCTCAGTATCTAGGACTGGGATTCACTATCAAAAAGTTTACAACCATCACTTCTATTTGATGCTTTTGAAACAATAGAATCAAATGTTAAACAGTTAGATCTTAAACATTTCAATGCTTTAACATGGAAGTTTTGGTAGAGCTGCTGTCGAGCATCCACTGTGCGAAGATTTATCTGGTGTAATATGTGAGTCCTAGACAAGGTGACAGAATTTTTGAATAAAAGAACATCCTTGGATATTCATGCAGTTCACAAAGAACTGTGTAGATGCATGCAGTACATAGGCACAGTGTGTGCGAAATAGCCACCGGCCCACTAGCCCGTGGCTAGTAAAAATCCAGCCGGGGGGAGTACATCTCCACAGTCACTGGCCCGGCTGGCTAGTGAATTTTCATGGGGTCATTTTGTAGATATACTCTTAAGTTATGGTACACTTTTAAGTCATGCAAGATTATGGCCTGATAAAAATGTTCATCATATTAGCAGCTTAATGATGAAAGACGTGTCATGCCGACAATATCTATTTTTGTTTCTACATTCAAATGTCGGGCTAGTGAATTACTTTGTGGGCTAGTAACTTTCAGGCATAGCTAGCCCGACTGGCTAGCAAACTTTGGAAACTATTTCGCGCACCGCATAGGCATGCTGACACTAGTGACTGGGAATACTTACTTGAATGTCTGAGTCAAGTCCGTTAATCGATGTACAAGTATCAAGTTTCTGCTTCATATGTCTTTGTGCCTCTACAAGTTTCTTGTTCTCCTCTTTAGCTTCCTGAAGTAAATCTCCTGAAACACAAATAGATCCACAAACTGTAGGAGCAGGTTGGGAGAACACTCGCCATGCACAGCTTCAGGCTGATGGCAAGGATGAACCAGGGATCAGATATATCATGTATATAGTTTGAAACATTTTCAGTGTGACATGAAGACTTGTGTTCAAGGTTTGATCTTTTTATAAGGGCTTGCTAGCCTTGAATCAGTATGTTCAATCTATGGACATGCCTGTCTTAAACTATTCAGCAGAGTTATAAAACAATACTTGTAGCCACCAATTCCTTAAATGTATATAATCTTACAAAACTGAGACCCATGCATGAAATGGATCACAAGTCATGTAGGATAAACAAGATACTCATTTCAATTACATCACACCATTGACTTGAGAAGGTATGTGTTGCAGTTCGTCTCGAGCAATCCACTCAAGCAACTATGTTTGTCATAAGACATGACTAACTGGATCAGATTGTCACTCACTGACTGGCTGAAGCATGGCATACTGGCCCGTATTACATGGATTTAATCCCCAAAGTTCCTACAGAATAAGAAATAATGTACCGAGTGTCTTGTATCCTCTTATTCTTCCATGGAGTACTTTGTTTTCGTTCTCAAGTCTTTTAATTCTGTCTTCATAATCTTGTAGTTGCTGGTTGGCAGGTGTGACATCACTGGAGGCACTTCTTGGGCTGGTTTGTCCCTCGCTGCTTTCTATCTCAAACATTTTTACTTTTGTCAGATTTTCAGGTTGCTGTCAAAGTAAAAATGCTTCAGATATGGTGCCTTCAATGATGCCTGAAGAGAGAAACACAACATATTTTAAATATTGACATGGTTACATATGTACAGCAAATACTACAGCAAAACTAGAGTCTCTGAAATACATGAATATTGTTAGACATGCTGTATTGTCAAAACTGAAGTCCATATAATCATGTATTAACAATCTAAATTTTATTGACAATTAGAAACAGTATTAAATATGTAACAAAGATAGACGAAAATTAATAGTTGTCACTACCAATGTGTGTACTATAAAATGTCATACAATTTAATGTACGTCTGGCCAGACCGTCTCTGGTCTGGCTGTTACATATAAATAGTGTAACGTCTTTATCGGCACAAATTTTGAAACGCAAAATGAATCTATTTTTAGAACACATCGTAGTTTATTCACCGAACTTATTACAACAAGCTGACGTAGTCAACGCACAGAACCATTATCTATCCATGTGGGTGACAGTATTCAGGTATCCCAGGCAATTAACCTTCATCTGTTATGATACTCTTCACAATCACAAAACATATGTTTTCACCTTGTCCAACAATAGCCACGTACACGGTACCTGACCACATCGCCGAAACGCGGCCTTCAGTAGGTCAGATAATTTACGGGTTACACAGTACAATTGTAAAGTTGAACGAACACACAATTTCAGATCCAGATAAACACATTAATACTCTATCGCACAGAGAAAGTATCATACAGTGTTATGGCCCATATTGAGAAAGATCTTAAACAAACCATGTTAACTCTGGAACCGTATTTTCACTTCATCCCTTTCAACCAGGAAATAGAATCTGATTGGATGTGAGATATATTGTGTAAAATCTTGACTCGTGTATGGAATTACTGCAAGTGGGAGTTTCATCAAGTGGGGCCGAAGATAAGTTGTTCATCTGTTTTGTAAGACGACGAAAATAACGATTACTATATAGATAGTCAGTTTGTGAGAATTATTCTTAAAATTGCCAGGTCTGCATTTTTTTATGAACCGGCGTTCGTTGCAGCGACCGCTTCTAAAGTTTCGTAAATACTGTAGGGAATTCCCCATTCAACTGCTACGTTTAGGCAAACGTTTTTGTTTTTTTCAGAAACCAAACACGTCCCGTCGTTAGATGTTTTTTGTTTGACGAGGTACTCAGCAATATTCCAGCTTTATGGCGGCGGTCTTTAAATAATCGAGTCTGGACCAGACATTCCAGTGACCAAACAGCATGAACATCGATCTAAGTAATTCGGATACGATATCGATGACATGTGTCAACAAGTCAGCGAGTCTGACCACCCAGTCGCCTCCCTTGTACGTCATGCATGAGTTGCTGAAAACGGGGGGATTACATGTATTTGGTTTGCCTCTGTCCCTGCCAGAGCAGAGACCATAAAATAAAACTGCTTTTGTATCTCTGCTTGAAGCCCACATATTAGAATCACTGTCTTGTGCCTCCACACACATGATCGGAATAACGAAAGTAAATCTAAAAATCTAAAAATATTAAGTCCATAAAACATGCTAATAATTCTCTAGAAAAAATTTGCATGTGGTTATTACATTTTCAAAATACGACGTCGACAATCCTTCACACGTGATGGTTAAAAGTCCCACAAAGTGTGTGTACTAACATAACATCAGCTGCGGGTGGCACATGTATACAGGAACATACATAGGGAAGACCGCGGAGTCAATTGTAACACTTTTTACTTAAAGGGGAAGTGTACACGAATAAATCACATTTATTCTTCTGTGAATCAAAGTGAACTGTTTTAATTAGTTAATACCAATGTTTGAAAATATACACTCATTTTTCTTACAATGTAAGTATAACCCTCAAAATAAGTGCTGAAATGTTTTGCCAATATGAAGCCTTTGTTTGCCGAGGTAAAACAGGCCAGAGTTACCGCCCCTTGATTATGACGTAATTGGTGCCACTGGTCTACTGTCTAGTCCCAAATCAAAAGATAATAATACTGAAATTAATCACGTGAAAAATGTTTGTGAAAATTCGAAAGAAGCATAAGAACAGAAAATGTAAGCAGCAGGACAGATTGATCGCGTGTTTTCATTCATAACACATTTTCATAAGGTTTAAAAAGTGAACGTTGTGCCAGAATTGCGGTCGCGTGGTCCTGGACCTGCGTACGGCTATAAAATTACACAGAAAAGTAGATTATTAAATTTTCTATCCGTTGGTATAAATATAAGTGCAACTACTTCATCGGTTTGAGAAATAGACACTACTAAATGTTGTCAAAACATTTGTTATGCCTTAAAAAACAGTATATTTCTCCGCCTTTTATCGTTCACCGATAAAAACACTGTGCTACGATATTTTTAATTTGGCGACTTTACGGAAAGTGTGAGCGAAGAAAATACAGCCTGATTTCTGAACGACATAAGTGTATATGAAGTGGGTTTATGTGCTTATGCATAACGTTACACGCTCAACATTAAACATGACTTGCAATAAATGTCAAAAATGGATTTTCTTCTATGACGTCAGACAACGACAGAGAGATCGTACGCGTATAAAGATAAGGGGGGCATAACTCCGCTATGCTTAACACTAGGCCAATGTTACTCATCACTTGAAGAGAATTTGTTGTGGATACGGACGCTATATGTTCTTTATGTTTTGTTCACAGTGAACCAAACTATTCCAAGTCAAAGTTCCCCAACGTGAGCGGATACGTTTTAGTTGTTTCACAATTTATACGAAAATTTACAATGTACTACAAGGGAAAGCACGTAATAGCGATTTTGATGTCCCTATCCGATATATAAGTTAGTTTCTGGCAAAGTGTGTGTACTAGCATTAACATCAGCTGCGGGTGGCACATGTATACAGGGACATACATAGGGGAAACCGGGGTCAACTGTAACACTTTTTACTATAACTTCTTGTAATTCGGTACTTGTAGACCGCTCACAAATTTAATCGGTACTAACTAGTACATTGGCATCTTCGCTTTAAACCTCAGTGCCATTTAAAGTTCACTATCATGTTGTTACAAAGTAATTACGTATCATATGCAATGACTGCCAGTGTTACAATTGACCCCAAGCACGGGCAATTGTAACAGGTGGATGGGGCAACTGTAACAAAAGAGGTTCAAATGTAACAATCTATTTATTTTCGAAATAAAATGAAAATAAAATGTGGAAAGATGTTATCTTGATCAATTGAGGTGGAAATGGATTAACATTAAACCTTTATCACCATCGACTTTTAAAATGTTTTTGGTTTAAAATTTTGTATTGGTATGCCCAAAATATAAAACAAAGACTAACACCAAAAACTTTCACCCGAGGGCCAATACTATCAACATAACACTGAAAATGTTCTACTATGAAATAACTAGTAAAGAACTAACATAAAACCTTCATCATAATTTGTTTCATTATCATAACACAAGGGACAATTACATGGGGGGGAATTGTAACACTGTACAACGTGTTTAACACTTGTTACAATTGCCCCCGGTGGTAGTAGCCATGTTTCATGCCAGGTCACATATTCACAACTTTGGGCTTCTCAAATATTTCTACTTCAAAACATGTCGTAATATTTAGCTCAATTTTACACTTGAAAAGTTAATTTCATACCAAACAACATTTACTGCATTAAGAAGGTTTTATTATGTTTTGTAAAAAATGTACTTACCTATGTGAAAAACGATTTTTCATCAACTATCTCGCCATGAGCGAGCAGCTGAAAAACGGGTGGATGTGTACCACAGGAAAGCAAAGGGAAATAACTCTATTCACCTACACTATGCTTGAGCGAAAACTTTGAGCGTAATCGCCCCGTGCTACAGTTGACTCCGGTCTCCCCTATATATTCCTCGTCTTCAACCCCCACTTTTACAGTAAAAATATAATACAAAATGTATCATGCACGCAAATATTTTAATTCTGAGGGAAAGTATATATCCAGTTATGTAATGAATGAGGACGTCACACCGTATTTCTGTCGGCGTACGTTTAAAAATTTGCTGCTTTTTCAAGTGTGACAAGTCTTGAACAACACTCTAATATATCTGTGTTTTAACTGGTTATATATTTCCAGTTTAATTTAGGTTTGACAGTTAAAGATAGTACAATCTTGGGAAGATCCAGTGCAGCGTGAGTACAGTTTTCGCACAACGTAAACTTACTTTTCAGATACTATGAAAACGTGCGTCCTTAAAGTAACTCTGCATCCAGGGGCTTAGGCAACCCAATCGTAGCGTCATAGCTGCTTGCCACAGATTAAGTGATAGCGTAAACTGTGTCGCTGTGTTCACATGGTACCGTGACTAAGTGGTCACATATTTGTGCACCTAATTACAGGAAACTTAAAAATGGAAACAATTGTTGAATGTCTCATGTTCCACGTATTTTACAGCAGCTTACCGAGTCAAACATGTCAAACAAATTCAGATTCGAGTCGTATCGATTTGAAATTTAATCTCAACATCACCAACTAACCATAAACACTCATATTAAAGTGAACTAAATATTAAACAGTATACGTTATCCAAAGAATTTAAAATAAGGCTTAAGCTTGTATAGGATCAAAGATGTACACGTATATATCGGGTATATGTTGCAGCCTGTGCTGGTCTAATCAAGAATGACCAAGGCGGCGGGTCGTGAGAGATGTATTTATTTTCTCAGTGTGTCTCTATGGGCACCCTGTGGGTGACACTGAAGTGTAGCCTCCGACCTGGGTGGTTGCCAACGCTTAGAACACTGAGTAGAACTCGGAAGGGGTAGCCTGTGGACTGATCTGTATGGTGGATGCAGTGCAGTGATTGTGACAAGTGCTGAGAGGTGTTAAGATGGCTGGTGACATAGATATTCAAAATCACCAATCAAGACAAAGAATCAGGCTTCAGTCCTTTGATCAAGACAATAAAACAATTTACACTAAAATGGAATAACCTGACTACCCTTAAAACAAGAATGACTGACCCTATAACCTGATTGAGCTAGAAGAGTATTATACCTAAGATGAAGATAGACAGACAACTA